ACCAGGTTAAGAACTTCTGACTTAAGACTATATGCAGACCCACATTGACAGGGGAAAGACCAGGGAGTTCTTTACATTAGTGAAATCGTAGGACCAAAAGAAGAAATATATTCCTCCTATGACATTGTTTCAGGTTCCCTTGCATCCTATATTCTTCCTCTGGATGTGCCACAGTTTGTCAATGCCTCTCTTAAATGTATCACCTCAAACTGAACATGTTATTCCAGGTGTCATCTGACCTGTAGTGAGTACAGTTATTATCTTGTTTTGCACATTACATTTATTTTAGTGTCTGTTGCTGGGACCAAAAGAACTTTGAAGAAGAATTGGGGAAGTTAGTTAATACTCAAAGCAATGGGACTTTTTGTTTGGAATGTTTAAGGGAAGGCTACATAGGTTATTTTGGACAATACAGGGAGAACAGAACAGGGAGACAGGGGTAACAAAGGAAGGGTACTAGGATAGTTTAATGATCACCCTTTTGACCCCCTACAAAGGCTAGTGCTGACCCTTTCATACTGGGTTGAGCCAATGATTCCCCCATAATATTCTAGTACTGACACCTCCAAAGTGTTTATGAGAAGAGAAAAAGAAGGTAAAGTATTCAAAAGGGATGTTGCTGAAGAGCCTCAGGCATGATGATCTTTAGGCCAAAGCAGGTTGAAAGAGTCTATCATGTTCTAGCACCTTGTTTTATGTCATAAATTTGGCAGTCTGATGGAAACCTATGGAACCTTTCTCAAAATATTTTTTTAAGTGCATGAAATAAAATACATAAAAACACAAAGGAAACCAAAGGTTAGTGAAAATAAAGACATATTTTTCCCATTCTAATTCACAGATCCCCTGAAATCTATTCCCCTGGTTAAGACCATTGGTTTAGCAAGATGCTGTTCCAAGGCTAGACTCAACATTACACCAAATTTTTTTTTCTGGGACCCTAGGTCCATCTTTACTCTATGCCTTGGGATCAGGGCAGCTCAAATATTCTAAAGGGAGGGATGAGGGTCCAGCTTAGCCAAATCTAATTGCCTTCATCTCTTAATTCACAGTCAAGAAGGTTCCAGTCAGGTAGGAAAATGAAAATTTCTAGCTTGGGAATTTTCAGACATAAAAGTTCCAGATATATAGTATTTTAGAAGAGAAGCAGGTAAGGAGAGAAGGGCTGCCAATTGTTTGTGTTTTTTTGTTTGTTTGTTTTGCTTTTTAGTGGGGCAGTCAGGGTTAAGTGACTTGCCCAGGGTCACACAGCTAGTAAGTGTTATATGTCTGAGAAGGTGTTTGAACTCAGGTCCTCCTGACTCCAAGGCCACAGCTCTATCCGCTGTGCCACCTAGATGCCTGCTGGCTGCCAATTTTGAAGAGGAGAATATGGATAGGGCATAGACAGTGGAAAAGACAAAAAATCAGGCAATCTTAAAACATAGCTTTTTCTAGGTGACCACAATTTCTCAAGGCAATCTAAGTCTGCTCTCACTTATCACATCCATCTATACCACAATGCCAATTCATATTAAACCAGAAATCAACTAGAATCTCACTTCTTCTTTATGTAAATTATTAAGCCAAGTCTCATGGACCCTAAAACCAGGTATTATTCATGACTACATTAATTCTTTTTAATTAATCAGATTAGGTTAAGATCCATGTTGAAACTTGATTTTTTTGGACCCTAATTTTTGGTCATGACTGTCAATTCTTTTACCCATATGCAATTTTGATAAGCTTGCCTTCTCTAATGAGATAACATTAGTAAAAAATTATCACAGTGATTGTCACATAGTAGTTATATAAGTGTTTGCTCCTTCCTTCTTCTTCTCTTTCATTTTGTTGGAAGATTGCAGAATATCTAAATAATAGGTAATTTAAAAAAATTTAAAACTGAGGACATATCTCTTTAGAACGCCAAAAAATTTGCTTAGGTTGATACCAATTCATTTATTGATCAGCAAGTCTTTTATTATGCTTACTAATCCAGATGACTATATTGTTATCCATTCCATACCCCTTTTTTTCAATCTTGTCCCAAACAGAACTAGAGTAACTTTGTAAGATCCTTTGCTGATGTCCAGATATACAACTTTTATTATATTTCCCTGATCTGCTAAAGTTGAAAAAAACATCATTGATTTATTCATTCTATCAACAAAGATTTGTTAAATGACTACTATATTTAGGGTACTATGCTTATTTGATATTTTGGTCTGGAAAGATTTATTCTTAAAGAACCATGATGGATCCAGGTAATACCTTTACAAGTTCTACTTTCTCATATATTCACAGAAATGTTACAGCGATCCACAGGACTGACTTTGTATGGAGGTAGAATAGGAACCTTTCCATGGTGTAAAAAATGAGATAATTCTGTTATTCAAAAAATCTTCCTTATTGACCTGCCATTGAATTATTTTCTACCACTTTTCCTGGAAAGTCACACTGTTAGAATTTCACCTCTGAATTAAATAACAAAAGTAAGATATTATATCCAGAAGGCCACTCAGAATATAAAGATACCCATTATTCTCAGGTTATCTTCATTTGAATCTCTCTCTGTAATGAATACTAATTACTTTATTACATTAACTGGTTACCTTCGAAGGCACAGAAAGCATAAGAGGGGAGGTAGTATATGTTTGTGTATGCAAAAGATACTTTTCCATGTCATGAAACTGGAGGTGAATTTTCCTTGATTAAAAGTCAAGTAAATCTTGGAATGAGATTCATGATAATATGAATGCCAACTTTGGTAGTAATGGGGTTATAGGTAACACAGGGCTTTTGAAGAAAATCTGATGCAAAAATGGTCAAGAGTAATACATTTTCTAGCTAATACAAGGCCTCCTTTACGGGGAGTATTACATCAAAAATTGGCTATTTCCTCTTATTGAACACCAAGATGTACTCATTCTTCCTTTATTTCTTTGGTGTTAGGGTATAAGCCTTCTATTCAATTCTCACTTTCCCAGAGACTTCATTGTTCATAATGATTACCTTTTCTTACATTTGGTTCTGACAATTCTTTTATCTTCTCTGTTTCCATAACCTCACTAATATTTACTAGAGTGGTCACATTTGATACTTATCACCTAAAACTGCTTTACCTCCAACATATTAAATTATCAAATTCTTTTTTTCTGCTCACAACTTCCTATTCTTTGGTTTTATAATGATGTTTAAGATCCTCAGTCCTTTACTTTTTCTTCAAGTCTATGACTCCTGCTTGGGCTTCTCTTCTTTCCCTACCTGATCTTGGCCCAAATAGTTAACTGCTTCAATCATGTTCTCTCCTCCATTCTTTAACAAACATTTCAGCAAACACTTTTGAATCATTTGTCTTTTTTCTTTAGAGGATTCATAAAATTTGAAGTTGGAAGGCACCTCTGAAATTATGTTGTCCAACTCTCTAAAATCATATTTTCCAACTCTCCCAATTTATAGATAAGGAAATTCAGGTCCACAGAAATTAAGTGACTTGTTCAATATTACTGAATAGCAGAAAAAGGAATCAAGCTCACATTCTAAAATTCTAAACCTACTTCTCTTTCTACTGACTGTAATGTGATATTTCTCATGCTCCAGTTGCCAGAAGATGCAGGAGAAAATCAAGAAATCATGCTGTAAGGAACAGCTAAATGACTCATTGCATAAAAATATGATAGAATATTATGTTTTTAAGCAATGAAGAAGGGGATGTATTCAAAAAAGCATGGGAAGACTCACATGAATGGATGAAGAATGAAATGAATAGAACTAGAAGAATAATTTATGATGATAACTTTTGAAATAATAACAACTTTTCAAAGATTTAATAATTACAATCAATGAAATGGTCCACTATAATTGCAAAGAACTGATGATGCAATATGATATCTACCATCTGATAGAGGTGATAAACATGAGATATAGAATGGCACACGTGTATACACACACACACATACATGTCAGACCTGACAAACGTGTATTTATTATTTTGTTTTTGTTTTGTCCATGCTTATTTGTCACAAGGATTTTTTTCTAATTCAGGTGGTATTTGAGGAGGAAAAATAATACTGCTAATGGTATAAAAAAGGGGGAAATAAGGTCAATGAAGGACATAAAAACAGAGAAATGAACAGAAGGAAAAACTGAGAAGCAGTACAGCTTTAAACTAACATGGTTTTGTGCTTTAAAAAAGGCAAGCTGTTTATAATGGAGACTCACAGTTTCAAGTGCATACAATTCTCTTTTAGTTTCTGCTTTGCATACAGAAATGCACATGTTAGTTGTTGTATGTCAAGTATAGAGTAACACAAAATAGAAAATCTTAAAATGAAAAAGAATCTCCATTGTGCATGCTTGCTACTGTACAGTAATTCTCTAACCCACCCTTGACTGACTCCTTCTCACATTCTTTATAATAACTTCCAAATCATGTTCTCTCCCCTCAAACCCTCTAACACTATCCTTACTTTCAGTAAATGACCTTTAATTCAGGAAATTCAACAAATATTCATTAAATGTCTACTTGTGATACAGTTGAGGTAAGGCATGCATGATAATGTAGAAGTACATCAAAAAAGGTAAAATACAAAGTGCTTTGTGTGGTCTATAGGAGATTGTTGGTATCAACAAGAAGTTCCATTGAAGATTTCATAGAAGATGTAGCATTTGAATTAAAATCTAAAGGATGTACAGGAATTCAACAGAAGAAGAAGAGGATTTAAAAGAATTCAGAGAAAGGCTAGGTAGAATTAAGGCTAAAACTCTACAAGATGTCATCTCATGAAGGACAGGAAAGTCTCAGCAATAAAATGTTAAAGATAAAAAGACTGTTGCTTATAATGCATGCTATAGCAGGGAGTTTTGTCCAAATATGGGTTGGATTATGTCCTTTGAGGTATTTTATTAGGCACTCATTATATACCAAGCATTATGCAATGCTCTGGGGATGAAAATACAAAGAATGGAACAATTCTCACTCCTTAGTTGCTTATATTCCATGATTCTGTGATATTCAACAGGGCACAGAAAGAGGGCAAAGGCAGAGTTGGGAACATATGCTCGGTAACTGAGATCTTGCTTCTTGTTTTATTAAGAAGATTGAAGCCATCAAAGGTAAGCTCCCTTAACTTTCCCCCAGCTCCACTTAAACTCTTTCCTTCATTTTAGTCTCAGAGGATATTTCACCTTCCTCTTTCTTTGTTAAAGTAAGCTATTTAAGTTGTACTCTTCTTCCCATCCCTTCTATATCCTTTCTCCTTCAATTGTCAATCTTTCTCTCAATCTTCAAGCTCTCCTATAATATTTCCTTCCATTGGTCTACAACTAGTCTTAGGTCTTCCCTAAGTTAAAAACAACAAGATTAGTAAAACACTCTTCCTACAACTCTACTATGCCATGCTCTCTTCTTCTTAATCATCATTCTAGGACAAATTGCTAGACTACTCCCTATCCACATTTCTTTATCTACAATTCTTTCCTCAAACTTGCCTTCTATTCCCTAATGCAGTCAATTTCTTTAAGTTTATCCTTGAACTTCTAATCATAAAATTCAAGGACTATTTTTAGTCTTTATCCATCTTGACCTGTCTTCATCACTTTACAATGTCTGTCATCTCTTCCTTATTGATATTTTCTTCACTCTTGGCTTCTGTGACTCAATACTTTTTTAGTTCTCCTCTCTGACCATTCTTTCTCTGTTCCTTTACCTGATTCTTCATTATCCTCCTAACTATCATTGGCTAACTCTTCTTCTCACTTTATACTGCCCCTTTTGTGATCTCATTCACTCCTATGGTTTTAATGGTCACTTCTCAGATGATTCCCGAACCTTCATCTCCCCTTTTAACCTCTACCTTGAGCACCGCCCCCTCCGGCCCACATTTCCAATTGTCTGTTAGATATCCTTATCTGGGATTCCTGTATTTCACATTCAATAGGTCAAAAACTGAAATTATCATCATCCCCCTTAAACATTGCCTCTAACTTCTCTATTTCTTTCTAGTTATCCTTACTCAAAAACTCATACTCATATTTGACTTTTCCATCTTTCTCATCCCCATTCAATCAGTTGATACACATTATCAATTCTATCTTTTCAATATCTCTGGACTATATCCTTTCCTTTCTACTCACACTGCTATCACTCTAGTTCAGTTCTCTTATCATCTTTCATTGAGACTACTGTAATAACCTCATATCTTGTTTTTCTTCTTCCAGCTCCTTCACTTTTCCAACATATCCTCCATGCTGTTGACAAAACAGTCTTCCTAAAGCAAAGGTTGCTCTATTCAAAAAATTCCAAAACTTTTACTATCTGATGTAAAAAAAAGCAACAAAACTCCTTGATCTAGCAAAGCCCATCACAATCACACAGTATGCTTCCTTTTCAGCTTTATCTCACTCCTATTCCCTAGCTAGCCTAAACTATTAACCATGCCTTTTTGTTCTACTTTCTCCTCTCTGTAGACCTTGGCTTATGCCACCTCCTTTATTTTCAAGGGATTCCTCATCATACCCATAATATCCTATTTATTCCATTAAGGCCTTACCCAGTTTCTACCTCCTTCATAAAGTTTTCACCAATCTTTTATCACCCAGCTGGAAGTTATTCCTTCTTTGTGCATTTTTCAAGGCATTTTCCTTGGACCTTTCTTGTACTTTTATCTTATAATTTGTATCATAGTTAGAGCAGAGGTTATATCTATTTTTTCTGTGTATTCCCAGTGTATTCCACATAGCATAGTGGCTTGTATATTGTTTTGTCTTTAATTGTGATTTCATTGGCATAGGGAAATCCCTATGAGGAACTCCGTCTATCAATGCAGGTCTTAAGAGAGTTAAGAGGGCTCTAAGAGGTGCTGTCAATGGCCACATAGTCACTATATTGTGTCTCAGTGATAGGACTTGAACCTAAGTCTTATTGACTTTATGCTTTGCCTCTGCCTTGCATATAGTACGTATTTAACAAGAGTATTGAATTAAATTTTCCCTATTATTCACTGAATGTACAAGAAAATGAGCCAGATGGTAGAAAGGCCTCTACTCTTCATTCTTAATGGGAGACTGAAAGGAGTTGCCCTGATCTCCTTCTCACCTGGGAAGTTATTAGGAGGATCCTCATGGAGGTAGAGATGGTTTTAGATTCAGTACAGGGCACTTTCAGATATTGAAGAACAACTTAGAGAATCTGAAGGGGAAATTGGAAATGACAAATAGAAAGGAAAAAATAAAAACAAGTCCCAAATGACCCAAAGAAGACATTCAAACCTCAAACTATTTTTCTTTACTGTCAGTATGAAATGCTCAAACAATTAACAAAAAAACCCACAGTGCTATCTACACTTGTACCAAATGCCTAAAATGCTGAAGGCATGGAAATGCCACTTAATAAGAAATGGCTTAGTGTTCTCCATGCCCAACCTAGTACACTATAGGTTGCTTGATAAATATTAAATTAAATAAAATCACTAAAGTCAGTGCTAAGCTCTTCAGAGAGGTTAAAAAATTCAACAGCTAATGCTTTATAGATTTGGAAGCATTGGCATTATGCAGAAATAGAATCCCTGAGAGAATTTGAGGCTTTTGCGTGGAGCCAGACAGTATAATTTTTCTCTCTTTGAATTTTTCTTTTACCTTTAAAATGAGTTGCTCCCAAACCAATAGTTAATCTGAGCCCATGGCTGATTTAACTGGGACTTGCTTTTGAACATGTTTATCCAAACTCTCGATTTGAAAGGAATCCAACATTTTCACACTGATGTAATATTTCTGAGGGTAACACAGCTGCATTCACCACTTGGATCTGGATCTCTGACTTGGCAGCCCCTCCTATGGCCTTGTGGAAGGACTGCTTATCCCACTCTCATACTGCCAGGCCTAGTCTTCCTGCATCTGTGATCTTTGCCATAATGTTCTTTGCCCAATATGCCAATCGAGACAGGATAGGTTATGGTAGTGAAATAGACATATGTGAGCAAAATCATTGAACCACTACATAGATGTGAGAAACGAGATTGTAAAAATAGACAATAGGTAGTAAATAACCCTAGCTTGTATTTATATAGCAGTTTTTGCTTTATAAAATGTTTTCTTCTCAAAAGCCTCTAAGAGGTAGGAAGTTTGAGTTTATTATTCCCATTTTATAGATGAAGAGACTGAAAGTCAGAGAAGTTAGGTGACTTTCCTATAATCATATGGCTAGTGAATGTCAGCAAGGATACTAAAGCCAGCATGGTGCATTGACAAGAAGAACGAATCTAGAGTCAGAAGACCTTGGTTCAAATCCCACCTCTGACATTTACTGCCTATTTGGCCTTACCTCTCTCAGCTTCAGTTCTCTCATTTGTAGAATGAGGAGTTTGGACTAGATGGACTGCTTTTGGAAAGCCTTAAATATCACGAAACAATTCAACAACAATTAAATCTTAAGTATGTCATTCAACTACAAAAAATAAAGCCCTGAGAAGGGAATGTTCAGTGTAGGCTGGAGTGGTTCACTGAGGATTCATAGAATAAGCAGGATTTGAAGTGGGTTTTGAAGGATGAGTAGGATTCAGATAGGTAAGGAACAGTATTAGGGAGAGTCCAGAGAGGAGGAATAGCATGATCAAGTCAAGGATGGGGGAATGGGCATGTCACAGATGGGTGACAATGAGAAAACTAGCCCAACTGGAGCAGATGGTTAACATTAGGGATCAATGGGAGAAGTAGTGAGGTGGGAAAGATGAAGCTGGCACATGCAGGAGGCTGAATGTGGGAGGGATAATGGTAGATGCTTGAGCAGGAGAGGGACACAATGAAGATAATTCCATGAAGGCAGGGGCTGTTCTTAAGGTAACCCTATCATTTTATAAATGAGGAAAAGAAGGCCCAGAAAGGATAAGTCATTTGTTCAGGTTCACACAAATATTAAGTGGTTGAGCCAAGATTTGCACTCAGGTCCTCCAGGTTTGAAGCTTATTTTCCACTCTACCACAAGTGCTGGAGCATTTATCCTCCTCTTTGTATTTCTGTCACTTAACACTGGACATTGCATATAACAGGTACTTAATAAATGTTTGTTGTTGAAAAGTGAATTGATTTGAAAGACATATTTTAGGAAGATTATCCTGCAGCGGTATGCAGTATAGTATAAGTAAGGGAGTACAGAAAGAGATACTCATTTGGAGACTACTGTAGTATAGTTATCCCTTCCATGTCATGACTTTCTCCATCCTGGCTCTGATATATCACAGGTTGGCATAAGAAATAAAATGGGAATTTGGGGGGAGTTTTGCAGAAGCTGTGGATACACAGAGCCTGTCACCAAATATTTAACCCAAATTTTACAATAAGGTACTTAAAAAAACCCATAAAAGAAAAAGAAAAAATTCAGACTTCTCCGATATGAAGGAAGGGCCAAAAATTTTTACATGGATTTTCCAAATCACAGGGGTATCAAACCCCTAACTCCCATGGAAGGGATAACAGTAATCCATGTATAATGTGATTCTGGTCAGAGGAAAGTAGATTTAGAGGTCTAACTTCTTCAGGAAAACCAGGGCTTTGCTCAGGACACCAAATAGTGTTTCAAGACACTACCTCCTGTTGAGCCCTGTGCTGCTCTGATCCCTATTTATAGTTCAGGTTAAATTTTAAGCATATTGTAGTATAAGTATTTTATTTTTGACTAATCATCCAGTCTTCCAGTCTTTTAGGAAGTTGTTGAATTAGGTTTTCTGAATTTTCCCCATGGCACATAACTATATTTATTTATTTGAATAATTTTTTTTATTACGAATAAAAGAAAAATATTATTACACATTATAGTGAATTAATGAAAATTCATTTATTAAGCATTTGCCCATGACTTGCTCAATGTATGACTGGATTCGTACAAACTACTAGAAAACTAGGCTGTAAGTTCCCCCTCTGATTTCCCCAACTATTTCTCAGCATTTAGCCTTCTGTTCAGAGTGTTTTGACTCTGAATTTCTCTAAATATGAATCTCTCTGAAACATTCCTTTGCATTGATCGTATATGTTTTATCCCACCTACTTAAATTATAAACACCTTGAGGGCAGGAACTAGGACTTACTTATTATGTCTTCTCCGAATACTCAGTAGTATACTA